GTCAAGCTACGGATGCCACAACAATCTACGCGAAAAGCTATTTGTCCATGCACTGTGAGCCCCCATGTAATCCTGGCCCGTCAATACTGCCCATTTTCGGTGAGTGTACATGAGCTACATCTACTGAGATGTTCTGAAATAGCTAATGATGGTTAAGTACTGTGAGCAATGATACGTCACGAGCTGAAAACTTATTTCAAGGTGCCCGTTTGATTTGCTGTGACACGGGTTGAGACTAGACACTCAGAAACCTTTCATCCTCAGGTCCTGCTTGAACGAATGACCAGTTTGTTTCAAATGGTTTCAGTACTATTTGACAACCCCTTCCTATCGCTTTTGCCTTTAGAAAATCTGACAATTTCGTACGGTTAAGGTAGTATTTCTTTTTAACTTTTCAGAGTTGGAACCCTAGATAATACGGATTAATTTAGACTACTACTATATGGTTACCTATGATTAAGGATTTTCGACAGAATGCGAAACGTCAGGCAAATAAAATTCTTGTTCCAGAGATCGGACCTTCTATTTATAAATTGTGAAATATCACGTAAAAACCGATAGCTGTTACAGGCTTATCTACTATATCACGGACTACTATAATCGGAAGGAAATTACTCCAGAATCTGATATGCTTATTCAACCATCGCATGCGATGAGGCCCATCACTACTTTCGCGTGTGTACTGTGATGGAGTCTCGAGTGTTTAACCAGGCCATCGTACACCTCGACGATGCAACCGATATACAGCAGTCGTCGGGGCCTCTAAATGCAGGTAGCAAACAAGACGTTTTTAGGAACAGTACATTTCTCCACTTGTTAGTTTGCGTCAGTTTAAATTGGACTTAAGGCCTTCTTGCGAGGTCGCCTGAAAATAAATTTCCTCCTGCCCAAGTGTCTTACAGAATTCGCGGTTAAAGGTTTAATGCTTGATTAATGAACATGCAATGCGTAGTTAATGAAAGATAAGTGCACAGTAGAAAAAACATTAAAGCCCCTTGCAACTGTTTTACTAAAATGAAATCGTGGCTGAAAAGGAAGCCCAAGAACAAAAATATAGAGCAACCGTACAAGAAACGGGTAGACCAAGAAAACTATTAGAGCAAGCCCTCTGATCATTCAGCGACCTATTGGTTAAAAAAGAAGCCTATTTCTATTAGGCGACCTCAATAAAAAAGTCCTACCAAATTGGAAAGCGCAAAATGCAGACAAGATCACCAAACTAAAACAGACCTCATGAACACGCAGGTTTGGATCAGGACTGATGACAGATCGGCAGGCATAATTGACTCGCTTGCCCATCATGTGCATGCGGAAAAGACCCTGTTTCTTCTCCAGTCGCTGTTTCAGTCCTGGCAAGAGAGCGGTGTTTTTGTCCCGGTTTTCGAACCCAAT